CTCTCTCTAGCTGTAAAAGTGGGTTAAGTGCGTTTAAACAATAAGATAATAAAGGCAATACACTTAAAACGACACCGCTTTTGTTGAACTTGAACATAAACACATTGCAAAGTGCAAACATAATTAATAAAACATTTCTATTAATCTATAGAGCTTTGAGTTCACAACATGAAACCATCCAGTTTGACATCAGAACATTTGCTATGACTCGTTTGTATATCTTTTTACAGAATTACAGTGGAGAGATGGTTGAAACCGGGATAAATAACCGGACCGGTTACGAAGAAATGCGGCGACAACGACACCAGAAAGCTGTACCGCCACTTCTTCCTCGAGCAACGGCTATTTCTTCATCAACATAAAACCATATGAAGAAAGGATCTTTGTTACTTGGCTCTTCCTCTGCGTCTTTCTTCCCCAAACCGATCTTTAGAGGATTGAAAGGTCCAATCTTGATACGAATCTCTTCGAAGATGAAGGCTAGGATCCGATTCTTCCATGAAAACTTTCCTTCAAATGTCAAAGCTCCTAATGGACCAAGATATACTCCATTCTCTATTCTTTTTCCCTGATTCAACAATCAAAATAACTGTTTAGTTACTTCATGATGTCAGCTTAGCTATGATAAGCCGAATCAATTGGATCATAAGCCCGAACCAGATGCTATATAGACATTGAAGCAGTTCTAGACTGCGACGGACATTACCATATATATGATGTAAGAATGTATATTAGTGTAGTGGATCAATCTCTATCTGGTTTAGTATCTGATTATCGGATAAAACAACTTTATTAGAAAGAAAAGAGGAGGCTTACAACAGCATCAAACCTCTGAACAGCGGTTAGAGGGAAATAACGACCTTTCGTCAGTTTCTTCTGTATAGTTAAAAACATACAGCATAAGATACAAAGTCAGTGATTTGAATGGATCAAGACTACGACATTTCAAGACATGAGGGGTAATTAATTTCTAACGGACCTCCGCGGTGAAGATGAGCATCCATGTTCGTCCAGGGGACTCAGATCCACCAAGTGTTTCAAGGAATGTGGATGGATCAATTTTAGCCTTTTCAATAGTAGAAAAAGCAGCTAAAATCTCATCTGCTGCAACTTTCCGAGTTTTTGCAGCGGTTTTTAACAGGCTCACGCTCTCTTTTACTTCCTACAATCCCAAAGTGAAAAGACAGTGGAAAATCATTTCATAATCAAGTAGAATTAGTTACCCCACAATTCTCAGAATCTTAAGCCATAATAAGAAGAGAGTCTTGCATTTGAAAGAACCAAGTCCTAGTCTGTTTTCATTTCCAAGGTTTATGTTAATTCAACCAAAATTTCACAACTTATCATCTCTCCAAAAGTGAATAAATCCAACGCTTAATGTAACTTCCATAAGCTATGAGCTTTTCATATGGCTTCACCTCACTCTCGGATTGTTGCAGAGAAGAAAGATCAACAACAGAAAAAACGAAAGAGCAAAAGAACAGAAATTTCTCTGCTGAAAACACAGTGCTCTAAACCGACCAATTCGATGGCCTTTCATTTCCATAACCAATAAAACAATCGAAATGAAGAAGGTGCGTACTTTGTTAAGGATTTGATTTTGTGCCGGAGGAACAATCTGGTTCATACCATCGACCGTGGCTTTCACCAGATGTAATCTCTTGCAACGATTAAAGACGAGAGAAGAAGAAGAAGTTGGGCACGAAACCCATTGAGCTAGTGAGACAATCATCGTCTCTAAAATGCTCCTTACTTTTTTTCCTTCTTCATCGTTCTTTTTCCTTCCACATCAATTTTTCAGACAGACCAAACCCAAACAAAAAATCACTAGGGCTGCTCCTTCTATTGTGATCCACCAGTTTTTATTTGGCTGAAAAAAATATTCAATTAAAATTATTTCTCTCGACCAGTATCACCGAACCAATCCTAATGCTATTTTAATGTTCAGAATCGTTTACATGGTTAAAACTTTAGTTTCTTGGTTCAATTCGGTTCGACCGGCCAAAATTTCAAACGTAGATACGTTAGCATTTTGGTCAAAGCTGTATAAACTTTAATTTTGAACACTGTAATTATGTATTGTTGTTAAATCCAAGTTGGTTACACTAAATTCTATTTCAGTTTGGTGTAGCCATAACGCCACCAACCGGTCTTTAGCAGTGTCTAACAGTATCGGGTTAATATTGGTAAGAGGTTTCGTTCCAGTTCGGATTGATTCGGTACCAAATTACCAATGAACTTTTGTTTATATAACAAACCCTTAAAACTTAAAACTGCATCAGTCAGGTCGCATGAAGAAAAGACGGGAAGGATGAAACCGGTACTTGACTGAAAAGTAGTATTATGGAACAAATAGTGTTTCCTCAAATATTTAATAGCAAACTCCAAAAAGCCGAAAAACAGACCCAGCTAAAAGGGTATTATAGTAGTAGATTTAACTTGAAAGCAATAAAATCTCTCACTCATGCATGTCTCATATATCTCTTTCTAGCTATTAAAAGATCCAGAAACCGGTCTCAGGCTACACCTCTCCGCACTTTGTAAAATCTCAAAACCTCAATTATGCACCAAAGAAAACGACTTAGGGTTTGGGTTTAGGGGACTCGGATTCCTTCGTCTGATCATCTTTCATCAAGCATCCTGATCTCCCCCCTCTTGGTGCAACCCGAAAGCCGTCTCCTACAGTTCAAATAAACCCGAAACCAGTTTAGATTGGGTGTTTTTTTTATTCATCCATTTGGTGTTTTCAAATAACTGAACGCATTAGACAGTCACCTTTCTTCTCACAAAATTTAGATAGTCATGCGCTTGAGGAAGCATTGCCTGAGGAAGTACCATCGAGAGCAGTTACCTTTCCCACAGCAACTGTTTTTCCTGTATAGACCCCCCAAAAAATTGCAGACCATGCACATACATTAGGATGAGGGAAGATATTTTGCATTATTGCATTTTATAGTCTCTGTAATCTTTACCTTCAGTTCGTAGAGTGAACCTTCCAAGCTGCGGGAAATCCGTGAACTTTTCAATACAGATTGAATTTGTAACCTGCAGAGATATATCAAGAGACATCAAATATTAGGATTAGTAACACTTAACAACCAACTAGGGAAACTACTGAATTCAATTCTCGTGTGATGCTCTCAGCATTTCCAGTAAAACTTATGTAGAACCGACATCAGTACCAATTCATCTACTGGAAAACGACTGAGAAATTTAAATCAATACACATATACATCCAAAAGAAGCTTGAACACCAAACAATCAATCATCAAAAGATTGTACCAAAATTCAAAAATGAAATATTAATTCAGCTTTTCTTTGATTGGACTATAAACTTAAACCATAACAGGCTGTAACCTATGGCCGTGAATAAAAGTTTTCAGAAAGAAAGGAAAAAAAAAATCAGAAGGAACCAGACCTGTATACGGCAGGTAACAATAGCACCATTCTTCACAAACAGGATTTTCTTTTTCATGGGTTTCCTCGTCTTTGGATCAATCTGGCTTATCAATTGGATTATCTCACATTCCTCAACCACCGCATGAATGTGTAGAATAGCCTTGTAACCAGCTGTAAAAATAGCCTACAGGAGCAGCAAAACAATGAATACTCAGAGGAATACACATAAAGAAAGCAAGACTATTCAGTCTGTATATACTCGAAAGCAACATTCTAAAAGAAAAATGTGTGTACGTTGTCAAGCAGCTCAAGGATTTGTAGTTGGGCAACAAACTCGGTAACAGCGGGGACAGGCTTTACTGCAACAGAGAACAAAGGAAAACTCCACATTAGTACAACTACTATAAAGAGAACACTAAGGTTCCAGAAATCAACAAAAATCATGTGAAAAAACAGTAATTAAGAATTGCATAATAATTTGTAAGTGGGCTTTAATCTGTAAAGCATCTAACTCACCCGTGCTTGATAAAACAAACCCCGAAAGGATGTCCTCCTCTTCAATGCCAGTTAAACGAACTCTTAAATTCTCACCTGGTCCTGCACGCTTTACTTTATCTTCATCGCAGAATATAGCAACAACTTTCACAGGTTCCTGCATTGATCCATAAAAGTCATCGGTAAATCAATAAGCTAGCAATTAATATTTTTTTAAAAAAGAGCGAAACAAGACATCTGGAGAGTACCTTGTTTGGCATAATAATCAAAGAATCGCCCTCCCGAATGCTGCCAGATTCTACCTTTCCCATAGCAACAGTTCCCATGTCTTTGAATTTATCAATAATAGGCATCCTAAAATTTATAAAACGAAATCAGATTAACAAAGAGCATCCTACAATTCATAAAACCAAATCAGATTAACAAAGAGCATCCTACAATTCATAAAACCAGATCAGATTAACACAGTCTGCAACAAATTATGCTCAGTTCAGAGGATGGGAAAGAAACTATAGAATCCATTTCCTAATAAGCGGGATAAAACATATGCCAGAGTTGAAGAAGTTGCAAGTGATGCAGAAAGCAATGCTTAGAGATGTTATTGCCCAAAAACAACATGAACACACACATGTCCTGGATGAAATGCATCAACCAATATTTAATCACAAAGAACAAACTGAAATGAAACGAGATTAAGACAAAGAAACAGTGACAGTCACCTGAATGGACCATTAGGATCCCGTGGCGGAATTTCAATAGAATCAAGGACTTCAAAAAAGCTAGGGCCACTCCACCAAGGACAAACCCCTTGGCCCATCCTCTTGTCCATATTTACCCCCATTAGACCAGATATAGGCAAAAAGACAACATCTTCGCACCAAAAGAGTGAAAGAACAAATTAAACATGCCATTAGACCATATATAATCTGTAGAGCTTATAGTTCATTGCATACCTTTCTTTGTGTTGTAGCCAGAGGATTTCAGAAATGGTACCATCTTTTGTTCTATTTCATCATACCTGCATAGGAGTCATAAATACGAGGATGAACGGAAGAAGATCAGAAAGCTAACAGTGACATGGATAATAACGGATAATAATAATGTAAGTACCTCTCTTTCGACCAGTTCACAGTTGGATCGTCCATCTTGTTCACAACGACGATCAGCTTTGACACGCCCAGTGTTTTTGCGAGTTGAACATGTTCACGTGTCTGACCGCCTCTCTCATATCCTGTTTCAAATTCACCTTTTCGAGCCGAAATCACCTACAATAGAGAAATGTGGTCAGGGAAATTAATAGACTTCCTACTAAAGACGCCAGAAACAGTAAAGAATCAGAAACACATTAAGATATTACTGACTAACCAGCACACCAATGTCCGCTTGAGATGCTCCACTAATCATATTCGGTACATAACTCTTGTGACCCTACAAGTTCAAAAAACATAAGAGAATAAGAACAGAAAACTCATCCAACATTTCATGCAGCAGCCCAAATTCTCCACAAGAAATAAAAAATGAACGAAAAACTATTATTTTCGGTTAATCCCTTACCGGAGCATCCAAAATGGTAAATCTAGTGCTCTCAGTTTCAAAATAAGCCCTTCCAACTTCAACTGTTTTACCCTGTCAAATGTAGCAAGTTAGCCACACCACTTAGCTACGTTAAAATCAACCATAAACTTTGCTGGGGATTATATAGACACATGAACTCTATCATCTACGAAAATCATTTTTAGAAAAAGAAGAAACATTAATCAAAACGCAGGAAGTACCTTGGCCCTCTCTTCTTCATTAGTATCCATTATATATGCCATATACCTAGCGTACAGGAGAAATAACAAATATATGAAACCAAAAACAAAAAATAGAAGAGAAGGCATTCCTTATCAGTTTGAATCGATCAGGAACACTCACCAGCTTTCTCTACTTTTTTCTTTTGCTTCCTTCTCATACTTTTGGATTTGTCGGTCGTCCACCTGACCGCTTAGGAATAAAATTTGTCCTCCAATTGTAGATTTTCCAGCATCTGTAATTGAAAGTGGCCGAGTCAGGATTAAAGGCAGAAGCATCCATTACAAACACACACAGACTGAAAGCTCATGACCGGGATTTCAAAGCTGTGTCACATAAGCTCTGAACCCCTGTGTCTACACAGCAATTTTCTTACAATCTAAGCTACAACACAAACTTGCCCGAAATATTTTTAGAAACTACACAAGATTTATGTATTATGAAGGTAGAATTGATTAAAAGAAGTCAAAAAGTAGATAGCCATACCAACATGCCCAATGAACACCACATTCAAGTGTCTCTTTTTGTTCGCTTCTGCCTCATCTTCAGCTTCCTCTTTGGCAGCCTTATCTTGAGCTGCCTTCTCTTTGGCTAATTCGATGAAGTACAAAAGAAATATAATAAATCTTCAAACAGACAACACGATCGCAGATAGATAAGACAAGAGTAGTATGAGAAACTCTAAGAACCTTTTGCTGGGTTATGCACTGGATGGAGAATTTCTTGATCATACTCCTCGGAAGCTGAAACCACCAAAGTCCAGCAAAAAAATCACCAACGTGGCAAATCTTACATAAATTTTAACTCATTTAGAAGGAAAACAAATGAAAAGAAGGTAACATAAAACATCTACAAACCTTGTTGCTCATCAGGAACTGGCCCTGATTCATGCACCGTATCTTTCAGGTCTGCAAAGATGCCTAGTATTAGAATTAGCACTCGATCTCATAACAGCATACACTCGCCCTCAGCAACAAGTTAATATTGTACATAGCTACAGTGGAACAGTAGGTATACAACGGCCCACGGATAGCCAAATCTAGACACAGAAAATATATACAAAAAAATGTAATTCTACAATGAACCTTCTTCTGCTTCATTCAGTTTCTCAACTCCATCTGCGTTATGATCTTCCGGAACGACAACTCCGTTGTTGTTTTCTTCTGCGTATATTAAAAACAACATTTAAGTTCCACTGAAATAAATAAAAAGATTGTTAAGCTTGTTATCTCCAGGAATTACCTGCCGAATCAAGCTGTAATGCGCGGATCTCAGCCTCAAGATCTGCATGGTTGATAAAAGACATAGGGACAGGAAATGTTAAAAAGGTAAAAAGATAGAATAAATCATAACATAATCCGAATCTCAAGCTACAAAACTACATAGTCCTGATTTCAATTTTGACATCCAGAACATAGATCCAGGGTGTTGTACTACGATTAAAAGATACAAAAATTTGACAAAGAATCCCGCAAAACACCCAAAATCTCTCACTATCAGAGACTCAGATTCTAGAGAGGAAGAAAGATAGTCGAGTCAGTTCTACATAAGCGATTAAGTAAAAACCAATCAACTAAACCCTAACTCCGATTTCAAATTCTCACGCCGATAATTCTCCATCCGGTTTCAGATTAACTTCGATAGCAACAAATCCATCAACTCGACAATCGATGTTAACACGATAAGACACACAAAAACAAATTATAGAAAGAAGATCCGATCGAGCGACGAAACCTGTAAGCTTGCATAACACACGCGAAATCGAAAAGGGAAATGAAACAGAGAGAAAGCTCGGAAACCCTACCCATGGCGGTTGCTGGATTGAACGAAAGTTAAGCTTTCTAGGTTTTATCGCGAAAAGAAGAAACGCGTTAAGGAGTCCACCAGACGAACCAGTATCGTTTCTACGAGGCCGTAAATTTTTTTTCTTATATATAACCTCGGATGTCCCGATAATCGTTTTTAACTCTCTTTTCTTTTCTCATCGTTTATTCCGGTTTAACGTGTCAAGTTTATTCCGGTTTTAACCTAAGGCGGCGTCATTTAAAAAGCCCGCTGTGATGGCCCATAAAATAATTACTTAGTATGGGCCTAAGTTACCTTATGGCCCATTAGTACGTGCTGATTTTTTTAATGAAAGTACGTGCTGATTTATTAACTTCATTAAATTGAGAACAGATCTATAAATTGTACCAAAATAAAGTTTGGACGCAGGAGAACATTTGCTTGTAAACTTCACCGCTTTAAAAAGAAATCAACAACTTCACATGTTTAATCACCTACACACATGACTGAACCAGTCTAACCCTATCGAATACAACTTCAACGTGCATTTTTTGTTTGTACACTCTAATATTATCTTCAAAATGAAATATTTTTACATCAATTTTTTCCGGTTAAAGAAATTTGGAAACAAAACACAATGCAGTATTGCAGTAATGTAAACAAGTAGTAAGACAGTTTTTTTATGTAGGAAATCTACCTGTAGATTCTCTTTCGGGTTACAACTAACAACCACCTTCTTTGATATGAAATTGCCATCAAATATGGACTGAGAATTACGAGGCCCAATTACACTAGACCCACTACTAAATCTATCATCTAGGCCCAAGTACACTAAACCCTAATCCATTTTGTTGTTTCTCTCATATAAATAGCTTCTTCTGTTTTTCTCGCCTTATCGCCTCTAACTCCGCCTCCCCGAGAAAGCGAAAACCCTAGTTTCAGAGGAATCTCCAGACATCGACAATGGCGGAAGGACTCGTTTTGAAGGGCACCATGCGTGCACACACTGACATGGTGACTGCAATCGCCACACCAATCGACAACGCAGACATCATCGTCTCAGCTTCCCGAGACAAATCGATCATTTTGTGGAAACTCACCAAAGACGACAAGTCCTACGGTGTTGCTCAGAGGCGTCTCACTGGTCACTCTCACTTCGTCGAAGACGTTGTTCTCTCATCCGATGGCCAATTCGCGCTTTCCGGAAGCTGGGACGGTGAGCTCCGTCTTTGGGATCTCGCCGCCGGTGTTTCCACTCGCCGATTCGTCGGACACACCAAGGACGTGCTCTCCGTCGCCTTCTCACTCGACAATCGTCAGATCGTCTCTGCATCTCGTGACCGTACGATCAAGCTGTGGAACACTCTTGGTGAGTGTAAGTACACCATCTCAGAAGGAGGTGAGGGACACCGTGAATGGGTTAGCTGCGTCAGATTCAGCCCGAACACTCTCCAGCCGACGATTGTGTCAGCCTCATGGGACAAAACCGTGAAAGTGTGGAACCTTTCGAACTGTAAGCTCAGGTCGACTCTTGCTGGTCACACTGGATACGTCAGCACGGTGGCCGTATCACCTGATGGTTCTCTCTGCGCTAGTGGAGGCAAAGATGGTGTGGTTTTGCTTTGGGATTTGGCTGAGGGAAAGAAGCTTTACTCTCTTGAAGCTAACTCTGTGATCCATGCGCTCTGCTTCAGCCCCAACAGGTACTGGCTCTGTGCTGCAACCGAGCAGGGTATTAAGATTTGGGATCTGGAGAGCAAGAGCATTGTTGAGGACTTGAAGGTTGATCTCAAGGCTGAGGCTGAGAAGTCAGACGGAAGTGGTACTGCTGCCAACCAGAAGAAGGTAAATCTATTCTAGCTGATCACTCTTTTATTTGTTTGAAATCGATTAAAAGTTTTTAGCTTTTGTAGATAAATGTTTCTGTAGTTGTTTATGATGATAGGTCTGACTGGTGATTAAGTATTACTCATTGCTGAGGATAGTTTTTATAGCGTAATCTAGATCTGTTGTAGCAAATGTTGGAGTTTATAGCCATTCTTGCATCGATTGATCTATTGAAAATGCAAACATATGATGTTTACGGTTTTCTATCCTTGCTTCACTTTAAAGTTAATTCTGATCATTGGCGTTACCATTCCCATGTATATCCTTGGGTTCTCTTGTTTTTTTTGCGGTATATATCTGCATATATTGGCATTTCCATAGATCACAACCAGTATGAGTTTGTGAAACCTGTATAGCAATTTTGTGTATTGGCGTCGTTCTATCTCGCTGCGTTTATGACTACTCTGTCTACTTAGGCTAGTGTTTGAATGGTGTTTAACTTTCTATACCCATTGATTATCTGTGAGATTCGTCCTCTTAGCTAAATCAAAGCTTGTTGTAATCATGGAATTGTGACTGTGTGGTTGTTGTGGACAGGTTATTTACTGCACAAGCCTGAACTGGAGCGCAGATGGAAGTACCTTGTTCAGTGGTTACACCGATGGAGTTATTAGAGTTTGGGGTATCGGCCGTTACTAGGAACCTCATCTCTATGCTACTGTTGCTACCTGCTTGGTTGTTTTTATCTATCACTTTTGGTTTTTTGTCAAACAAACTCATAAAGTACCCTGAGATTTTGCAAGGATGTTTGGTTTTATGTCAATTCTAGGTTTGGTTCTTTATCTTATTTGTGAGATCTTTCAGCTTTAAGTTAAGTTACCTCCATTTTGGTGGCAAATGATTTTCCTTTGAGAATCTAGCAAAATGCTCAAATAACAAACGAATCTGTATTTTCTGTTTAATATCTACACTTAAACAAACCAAGTAGCAAGCCCAAATATTTTTGGTTTGCAAACGAGTAAGATTTTTTACACTACTTTGGAGACGGAAATTAACATCTATATGTGTACAGAAGAGTTATTCTTGGTCGGTTGTTTTGTTTTCACCCAATTAGATTTCGCCACGTATATTGGTACAGCAAACAGCCTCTTCAACTGTTGACGTGGCGTCTGTCGTATTTGATTTGGTCCCGCCATATCCCTTTCGCGCCAAGGTTTCATTTTTTACCTCTTTTTTTTTTACTCACAGCAAACAAAAAAAAAGGTAGAAAGAGAAAATTAAATAAAAGACAAATCCGCAAGAACCCTAATAAAGAAGCAGAGACCAAAATATAAGAAAAAGCAGAAAATGGGCATAAAGGATCTTCTCAGATTCATGAAACCTTACATTCTTCCCATTCATATCCAGAGATACGCCGGAAAACGGGTAAATTTCTCCGATTTTGTTTTTCTTAATGGGTTTGTTCTAATCGTTCTGGGTACCAAACCAAAAAAAAAAAAAAATCAGTTTTTGATTCATGGGTTTGCACATTTTCGTATTTCCAGGTGGGAATCGATGCATATTCATGGCTACACAAAGGAGGTAAGCTTCGTGCTCTCTAAAATTTCCTCCATTTCGTTCTGTATTGCCTTCCCCAGTTACTCAGAGCTTCGTCTATGAAAAATGCATTTATGTTAGTAAACCCATGTAATTGCAATTTAAAACCTAGAAACCTTCATTTCCTTTAACTAATTGATTGGAGGTTGAAGAACGAAAGTGGAAATTAATTGAAGTATTTTCGAACTGATAAATCTATGTACTAAGTGGTTTTCAATTTCATGACTTGATGGGAA